AGGATTATTCCAGGTGAGGCCGGACCAAAGCAGAATACAGTGGCACTAGTACTTCTCTTGATCTAGAGTGGCACTATTACTTCTCTTGATTTGAAATGTGTTGCTGGAAGGGAGTTCTATGGATTCCTTGGACAGACCAAAACATAATACAGAAAATCAAGCCAGAACTCCTCCTAGAAGCGAATGTGACTAAACAGAGGCTATCATACTTTGGGCATATCCTGAGATGCAATGACTCAGGAAAGAGGAAAGCAGTAGGAAAAGAAGAAGACCCTATTCCAAGTGGATTAACTCAATCAGGGAAGCCATGGGTCTGGGTTTGCAAGACCTGAGCAGGGCTGGTGATAACTAGCGCTCATGGAGGTCTCTCATTTATAGGATCGCCATAAGTTAAAGCTGAGGTGACAGCAATCGACAACAAACAAAAGAGTGGAAAGAATTTCAGTCAGAGATTTGCCTGAGATATATATTTAAAAAATCACATGGGGCAGGGGAAACATTAGAAGGCCTGGAGTGTGGAAAATAAACCATTTTATTGTTTGGCGCACAGAAAGACCTGTGGCAGAAAAAACAAAGCCTTATTTCCCATGAAACAACACACAGAGGGCTGACTTTTTTGTCAGACACTGGTTTATTTATTTTGTGTGTGTGTGTATACATATGTGTGTGTGTGTGTGTGTGTGTGTGTGTGTGTGTGTGTGTGTGTATATATATATATATCGCCATAAGTTAAAGCTGAGGTGACAGCAATTGACAACAAACAAAAGATATATATATATATATATATATATATATATATATATATATATATCCTCTTCAACCCAAACTCTCAAGGTGGTTTACAGGCTTAGAAATTGTTAATTTGATAGTACTCTATCCCCAAAAGAGACAGCGTGGCGTAGTGTTTTGTGCTTTGGACTATGACTCTAAAGGCTAAGGTTTGAATCCCAGCTCAGCCATGAAGCCCACTGGATGACCTTTGACAAGTCACACTCTCTCAGCCTCAGAGGATGGCAATGGCAAACCGCCTCTGAACAAATCCTGCCAAGAAAACCCCATGATAGGGTTGCCAGAAGTTGGAAACGGCTTGAAGGCACACAACAACAGTACTCTGCCCTCAGGTTTACAATCTAAGGGGGGGTTGCAGACTGCCAGAAATAGTGCAAATTGAGGCCACTTTTAGGGTTAGGGTTAGTGCTAGGGAATCATGGGAATTGTTTTTTTTTTTTTTCTGAGACATTGAGCCTTCTCTGTCAGAGAGCTCTGGTGCCACAATAAAATACAGTTCCCATGATTCCCCAACCCTAACCCTAAAAGTGGACTCAATTTGCACTATTTCTGGCAGTCTGCAACCCCCCTAAGATAGGATTCATGAGGAAAATGGAAGGGCAGAAGAGGAGGGGATTAGGTTCTGCAAATGGTGGCTGCTCTTTTCTCCCTCAGAGGCCGGAAGAATGGCAGTCGCAATACGGAGGCAGTGTCTTTCACCAGCCGCTGGAGGCAAGGCCTGATGGAGATGTCCCTAGCTACTAGGTGTTGGGATTCCCTGAACGGGAATGATCTCAGACAGAGACTACTGAGAGCCTATCTGAGGGGGAAGAACACCCAAAGAGGTGATTCTGTCCCCTCCATTTTATTGACCTCTGTTTACAGCACAACTGGATGTTTGTTCATCATTCATTAACTATCAGAAGGTGGCCAGGCTCCAAAGGTCAAAAGAAGCAAACAGGAGACAGGAGACCAGCCAAGCCAATCATTAAAGGTGGACCAGATAAGTCATTAACTTATGTATATCTGTGTGTGTTTCACCCACTAGGTTTGTGTACATGTAATTAACAGCCAGGTTAATCCTTCAGCCAAGTCACTAGAATGCTGGCTGGGTTATAGTATTTTAAGTCTCAGCCAGGCCTTAGATATTAAACTTATGCATATGGCAAAGGCAGTGCCATTTTCATATATGAGATTATCATGGTCTGCCAGTGATAATCTCCACAACTAGGCCTGATCACACTACACTGTTATAGTGTTATATTCCACTTCAGCTGCCATGGCAATATCCTATGGATTCTGGTGTTTGTAGTTTATTGAGGTCCAAGAGCTCTCTGGCTGAGAACCCTAAATGACCCTCCCTAGGCTACAAATCCCAGGGTGTCACAGGACATTGCCATGGCAGTTAAAATAGAATACACTCGTCCCTCCACATCTGCGGCTTTGACTTTTGCAGATTTGATTAATTACAGATTTGATTAATATGTTCTCTCTAGGAATCTCTAGGTCCTCCAGCACAACTCTATGGTCAACTTTAACCAAGTCTCACTGAAGGGCCTAGAGATTCCTAGAGAGAAGACTCCACTAGGCATTTGTAGCTCCTCCAGTGCAATTCTATGGTCAACTTTAACCAAAAGTCACGCTGAGGGACCTAGAGATTCCTAGAGAGAAGATTCCAGTAGGCATTTGTAGCTCCTCAGGTAGTATAAGGGGTATACTTTTTGTCAAACTCAAAAGTGCCAGGTGCTTCGCCCCCTTTTTGGTCTTAGCCCCGCCTCCTTGTTTTGTGGCTTCTAGGTTTGGAGTGAGAACTTTTTGGGAGGTTCTAGGTTTTGGGTTCTAGGTGTTGTATGTTGACTTTGGGCTTCTAGGTTTTGGGGTTCTGCAGGAACCTCCCCTGAACCCCAAAACTTCAGCCATTTTGATTTTTTACCAAATATGTTTTTGGGGTGCCTGTGTGACCCGTCTATGGATTCGTCTTGGGACCGCCGACCACTAGGAGCAGACCCCATCCCTATCCGATCAATGGCGTAGCCATGAGACATGTTTGAACGTGACCACCGGCGGCCATCTTTTTTGCACCAACGTTAGTTTTTGGGGTGGGTGTGACATGTCTCCGGATTCATCTCGAGCTTCTGAAGTGAACGGTTCAGAGGTCTGGTGTGCTCTGGGCTTCAGAAAGGCGTGACACGCGGATCACTTCCCCTCGCCCTTTCCGGGGAGGTGGGTGTTTTCAAAAGCTGCACGTTTTTGAGAGAAGTGGATTGACCGAAAGGTCAGTGCCAGTGGCACTGATTGGCGTAAATCTCCTGCGCTTCTGACCCTATCCAATGGGGGTTCAGGCGAAGGGGCCACCGCCTTGCGGCACAGGGTATATGAGCATGGGTCCTGAGGGGCAGCGGCTTTCACTGTCACAAGCCTGTTTTTTCAGGGTGGAATGTTATACATTTCTGAGTCGGTCTCAGCACCTCCGATAGAGAGGAAAGGTTTCCAGAAGGGTAGAACTCAGAGGAGGAGAGAGGTCCTTCACTCTTCAGCAGTCATTTTCAATCTGAGCTTCACAGTTCTGAAGTGTAGGGATTAGGGAAGCTAAGAAGAAGGATTGGGATCTCTTTTGCTCCTCCCCAGGAGGATGTTTTCAAAACAGCGCCCTTTTGAGCATCGCTGATTTGTCCATTTCCCTCCATCCCAGTCAATGAAAGGCAGTGAGTTAGGAGCATGCCCTCCCCTGCAGTGTCAGGTATATGGCCCTACCTAGGGCCCCTGCTCTCACCCATATGCTGCATTCTCCCTAAGCTCCCAGGGTTTTCTCCTTTCCCTCCTCAAGATCTGTTTTTGCATAGAGCAGCCCCATGTGTGTGTGTGTGTTCTCCCCAATAGAGCAGCCATTTTGCATGGAAATATTCATTTGGGGGTGAAGTGTGAACCCTCCCAGTGGTCATACAAAAACCCTTGACCACCAGTAACAGATTTCCAATCCCCTGGGTGCTTCATCATTCAAAGGAAAACTGCATCCCATTTTTTGGAATTTCCATTTTGCAGCCCATATTTTGTCCTTCTTGTTGCACAAACTTGCATTTTAAGGTAAAGTGTGAGACTTCCTCCACACTCAGGCTACCAGCCGTGACCAAGAGGAAAAGCTTTCTTTGCTGCCATGGCAGGATTTTTAATTTTGGGAAGTGACAGCTATCTTTTTTCTTTTGCAGAAGTGTGTATTTTGGAGACATGTGTGCTTGTTGGTCCATCCTTGTTGACTCAAGGAGCTGGTTTCCAGTTCACCAGAGGCTTTTCAGTTCTCACAGCAGTACACAACTCACAAACAGGGGCTATGCTCCTGAAAAGGGTGGATTTGGAGTAGGATGGGTGTCTTGCCTGCACATGCCCCACCACCCTTTACTGATGTTAGGCTTACATGTGGATAGGCAAAGAGGATCAGCCCCTTCACTCCAGAAAAGAGGATCAGCCCCTTCACTCTCCTTTTTTGAAAAGAACCAAAAAGAAGTTTTCAGCAACACAATTTTGTATGTATTCCACAGCTTTGAAGGGGGAAATACTAAGGCAAGCTGCTCCCTATCCATTCCCACAACATTTTTTTTTATTACGGCACAAGGCCACCATTAAAAATAAAATAAAATGATTATACAACTTATAAAGTGTATAATAAAACTTTAGCGTGGTGATATGATTGTCTACTGTCAAGCATCTCCAAGGCATAATTATATATAACACTTAAAATAAGATAGTTACAACCCAATATATTAAAAACAACAACAATAAAACGGCGATCCCTATTTGTCTAGTTTCATGAGCATTGCTACATCTGCTTTAGGAAATTTTTACGGCAGACAATTGCAACTGCAAGGAATTTAGCAACTTTAATAGTTACCTGTTCTTTGTAGTCAGAAAGGAGATAGTTTACAACAATTTGTGTCTGCTTTTTACAGGTCTTTTGTTTTCAAGTGTTCCTTTTAAGATATACAGCCAACCCATACCCTCCTTCAACAGGAGCATGTTTCCACCCCACCATATCTGTGCCATAATTTTGAAAACACATCACACATGTTATTGATCTTGCCTATACACATACCCCCCTCCCGTTTTTACAAACTGGGGTACGTGAGAAGTTAATAGCAGTGCCCCCACAACACTATGCCCCCCCTGGACATATATATGTGTTCTGGCCCCTGCTCTAGACCACAGACCACAATTGCTGCAAAATGTCTAGGCAGGGAGTCCAGCAGACTCTATGGGCCTTATCAAACGCTGGCCAGGAAGTGAAAAGTAAGCGAAGACTAACTGAAGTAAGAAGAAATCCGAAAGGAACTTTTTCACCTGTGCGGTCTTTCCGGGGCCTTTCCGGAGGAGGCAGAGGCGGCGCCGGCAGTTCCCTCCCACACCCCACCCTCCAGCACTTACCAGCCCTCCAGGCAGCCCTCAAAACTGGCGGAGAAGCGGCTCCGGCCTCGGAGGAGGCGGTGGCGGCAGTTCCCTCCCACACCTCGCCCTCCCTCCGGCACTTACCAGCCCTCCAGCCAGCCCTCAACACCGGCGGAGAGGCGGCTCCAGCCTCGGAGGAGGCAGAGGCAGCGGTGGTTCAAACTGAGCTGAGCCGCTAAGGGGACTCTGCAGCATGG